ATTAGTATGGGTTTGCTAATTAATACTGGAAAGTCAAACTGCCTTTGTCTTGTCAACTGCAATTAGCTGAAGATGTTTAAATTTCTTTTCATTTTATTTTTTTTTATTCTTCCAGTAGTAAACTCACTTTTAGCTGACAAGCAGTGAAATCATGCGCTGGAGTACTCAATGGCAGTGGGAAATCATGCGCTGGAGTACTCAATGGCAGTCAGTGCAGCAAGCCATCCCTCTTTCTTCTAGGAAGACCTTGTGCCCTGGCCTAGCAGCATCCCCTATAGCAAACACCACCTGTTAACTCATATTGCCCCCATGCACACAATTCCCTGAACTAGGGCCCTCTCCTCCCAAGGACACAGAGCATGCAGATACTGTCTTGTTGAGGCCACGATCCCATCAGATTCATCCCACAAGTATTTTACTTTTAAATATTGCTATGTAAAGAATGAATTATTTACCAGGACACCTAAGACACTTCCCATTGCGTACAAGAAACCCCCTCCAACTCATCAGTGTGATCCAATTAGCTAGTTCACAGCCCCAGAGCACATCGCTTCGTTCCCAGTGCTCTCTAAGACACTTCCCATTGTGTACAAGAAACCCCCTCCAACTCATCAGTGCGATCCAATTAGCTAGTTCACATCCCCAGAGCACATCGCTTCGTTCCCAGTGCTCTGGGGAGGGTGGCAAAGCCATTAGCACTCTTCAGGGTGGCAGCAGAGATGTCACCTCCACAGAGGTTTATCCCAGAAGCAGCCCAAAGACCCAGTAGACTGTATGATAGCACCTGACAGGTGTTTATTCCATTTCGCTTCGGGCCATAAGCCTGTTTGCAGAACGGCTGATGAAAAGCAATATCCACATCTGTCAGCACCCAGAGCAGGACGAGCCCTTCTGCATCCCCCCCAGCCGCAGAGGCTTAACGTCAAACTAACAAGCAGAGGATCATGGGTGAAAACAGGGGAGAGGGATGAAAAAGAAGGTGAGATGCCAGGAATCCAAATCAGTAAACAATTGCTGAAGTGTCAGCTTTAAAGGAGACTGAAAACAAGGCCATTCAGGTGAGACACTGATCTGGAGAGGGGGAAAAAAATATATAAAGAAGACTGTGTTGGATGGCAGGGAGGAGAGAGGGGCTGACAGTACAAGGAGCCCTTGGGCAGGCAGCTAATGGAAGAGTCCCATCCAAAGGGGACAGACCTCTGCCACTCCTAACATTATAGAAGACGAAGTGACACATCTTTCCTGGGAGATTCACCTGGGGATGGAGGAGAGCCATCTACCACCAGTGAAAAGAAGGAACAATACTGTCGCATTTCTCCTCAACAGGGAAAACGAGGAAAAACAGTTTCTCTTCCTCTATTTGAAGCAATGTTCTTATATTTACTGAATAAAATTCAAAATGCTGAATAAAGCCCACACCTCGCAATCTGCAATCCATCGTCTAAAGCACTACAGAATACAGCCTATTCATGGGAGATTGATGTAAGCTTTCCTGGAAGATCACAAGACCTGCAGTTTTCCACTGAGTAACCCTTGGGAATAGGCATTGAACACTGACTGCTGCTTTATCCTCTGCTGATGGATGATGCACAATGCCAATTAATGCTTTAACGCTGGAAGCTCCAGTTTCTCTAGCTCTCTGCTAGCCTGTTCAATACGAAAAACTTTTGAAGGCAAAAAAAATAACTCAAACCCCAGGCTTAATGAGGCAAAACCAAAAACTTTGCAACATTTAAAAAAAACACACATCAAAACATTTAAAAGATAATAGTAAATTTATCCTCTGATACATCCAGTGAGCCCAATGCAAAATTGATTGTATAAAATTTCAAACTATAACAAGGCAGCATGTAATGAGATCAGATGGTAAATAGGATTAATTCAGTTTTCTTTGGAAATACCAGTTCTGACCTGCATCACCACTGAAAGTGGCTGAGCATACAAAAATGTTTGCCTGCAATGTAAGACCATCCCAGAATCAGAATCAATTCACACTCTCGTTACAGAAAATCTGATGTTGAAACAGCAAGGAGAACAAATTTAAAAAAAAGAAAGTAGCAGATGTATGGCAACCCATTAATAGTACAGCAGGGGCATGCCAGTTCTGCCCTTCAGTGCCCTCGTAGAGTTAAGTAGAAGTCTAAAAAGTCTAGTGTTAGCACTGTAGTTTATGATTTCAGTTTTAGAGCAGAGGTCTTGTTTAGCAGCTACTAACTAGCCAGTGATGCATGCCCATCTTTTCCTTAGTAATAAAATTAATCCAGTGTAAAACACATTTACAGAACAAGTGTATACGTCTTGGACACTGTTCGGGTTTTTCTTGTGTCTAGAAAAAGTTGCAGGAATCCCCCAATTCACCCATTAGCAAAAACACTGGTTCACGAAACAGCTTAATGCTGACACCTCATTTATTCCTGAGTATGAAGAATCGTACATAATAGTCATGAAACTGCACATAAACCTCCCTACTGCCTGATTTTGTGGCCTCTATTATTTTTGGTCCTTGAGGGAAATGCCAATAAACCAGACAAACCCAGCAGAAAATTAACAGATATTATAAAATATTAGTTTGTGGTAATTCTGCCTCATCTCATCTGCTTGTCCTTTGCACACTTGAGACTGAATCAAAGGCCCCCAAAGAAAGGAGTTAATTCAGTATGAAATTAAATGCTTGCTTCTGATCTAGAACTGCTAACAAAGAGAAAGCAAATTGCAAAATAAAAAAAAAAAAAAAAGAAAAAAGACCACTAGATCTCATCCAACACTTGTTCCAGGTGAGTACGGAGACAGAGTGCCAAGACTAGCAGTAGCGATACGAACTTTTACAAAGCTTATTTGCTATTCATTTCTGAATATTTGGAACTGATCCACTGTTTAAATGAACTAAGCTTTGCATATGTTACTGCTCCGTAAAACAATTAAAAAACCCCAAAAGATGAACACTTACCATCTCTGCTCTTTGCTTATGATTTCCCACTTCTTCCAGAACTTGAGACAGCTGAGCCTTCAAGACAAAATAAATAGAAAATGAAGTCTGGGACATATTTTTTGAGGTTCAATAAGACTACGTTCCTCCCTCCCAACCAAAAAAGTCAACAAAGGCAAGATGATTCAAGGCATTGAAAAGGAATTTTAAGCGTTATGTCTTGTTATGTCCTATCAGCATCCCATCCCATGAGACAATCCTGTCCCAAAGAGCCTGTGGCCTACATACACAAGAAATAAGGGGTTTCTTGCAGAGAGGAAATCCACTGGATTAGCCATCTCAAATTCCAGTCTCATGGTCCAGCCAGAGAACTGTGCGCCCTCTCCATTTCTTTGGAAGTTGCATAAAGGGTGGTCTAAACAACACCCAATTCTGCCAAGCTTAACTTTACAGAATAAAGAAGCCTGCTCCACAGCTCCTGAAACATATGTTTGTGTTTGAAGAAAACTTCATGGAAAACGTTCTGCTGCAGTTCTGGGGTATAGGGTTGGTTTTGGACACCTTCAAAACTGTTATGGTAGAATACAGAGCAAATCCTCTCTGGAACGTGACCCTACTGTATTTCTGTGAGAAAAGGTCCCAGTGCAAAGTTTCTTCTAAGAGGAAATTTGAAATTTAAAGAATCTCAAATCAGAGTGGAAATATTTTGTTCTCACCATATAATTTGAGGAGAAATAAGAATCTGACTCAGAAGAGAAGCTTTCAGAGTTACGTTTACCAAAAAAGATTCTAAACGGAATGGGTACTCGAAGGTAAGAGAAGCCACATACACTACTCGAGTGCTTTCACTTCCCACCTCTCATTTCACAACACACTGCCAGCCTGCAATCAGCCTTTCTGTGGTTAGCAGAAAGCCCAAAAAATAGTCACAGCTGATGACAGAGAAGCTAATTTAAACGATGTGAACAAACGAGGCAAGAACTAAACCCAAACTTTCCTACAAACCAATTCACGTAATTTCAAGCAGATATTCGTTAAAACCCTCCGGAGTCCCTCTCACAATCTCTTGCCACAGATGAAATGGGTCTTTTGAGTACCACATCCAAACCAGAGACAAACAGCAAGCAGTTTATTACAACAAAAAGGAAAACATTTAGCTTTGAAGGCTAACTGCACTGAAATGCAAGCAAACAAAAAAAATTACAGTCTTAAGGTTCAGCACAGCAGAAGTTCAATTTTGCAAACAACCAACCAAACAGTTCAAGACTTTCGTGGCCCCAGAGTTCAGCAGAAACTGAAAAAGTTACAGATTCTTGCTGTGCAGGGCCTGGGATGATGCGACATTATTTAAGGAACAGACACTCAAGTGAGATGAAAAAGGTTTTAATACAAGCTTGGGACCTGGCACGGGGAAATGAAACACGCTCACTAAACACCATGGGAGATGCCAGTCCCAGCCAAACACAGAGAGCATGTACAAGCTAGTGAGAAGATAAAATTAAATTATCACCACATTTGATGCTGAAGCATCAGGAAACTATAAATTTGCAGACATCTAGGAATGACTTTTTTCCCCGCTACTATTGAATCAGGTAGAATTACACCAGCAAGCTGGAGCCAGAAGAGTCACATGGAAAAACATTAGAAAACATCCCCTCAGAGATGTTATTTAGGAGAGACACTAGCACAGTCTTTGCAAAACACCCCAAAACTGAATATTTTAGATCAAATCCAGCCCTCAACTTTTCTGTATATTTAACAGCCTTCATGAATGAAGATGGATATGACCTTTAGATGAGAAATTCTTGCCTACTCTAAACTAGATGTAAAGAGACATTAAGAATTACATATTTGTTTACAGTCGTTACCACTCCTGAACTTGAGGGTCATACGTCTCTGTTCAGCCTCCTGTCAGTACAGACGTCAATAGAATCACGGAGCAATTCAGCCCGGAAGCGGCCAGTTCAATGCCCTGCTCAGAGCAGGGTCAGCTACATCAGGATGCTCAGGGCTCGTCGTCAGCTGAGTTCTGAGAATCTCCAAGGAGGAAAACTCCAAAACCTCTCTGAGCAACCTGTGCCAAGCTTTGGTCACCTTCACAGTGGAAATATTTCACTTTATATCAAGACAACAGTACCCTAGGAACTATAGGAACCTTTTAAAGTACAAGACCTTGATAAAATTCAGGAAAAAAAAAAAGACAGAAAAGACCTGGCAAATTTTACTTCAGGAAGTGGTTGCAAAAACTTTTAGACAGGAGAGAAATCATACAAAGGGATGGGAGGAATCAGAAATATAAGCAAGAAATATTTCATAATTTATCTTATATTGGGGAAAATAACGAAATATACAAACCTCTCAAGCCGCTATACCAGCAGAGACCTAGAGGCAAACCTGGACAGCAAGTCCAAACCAGCAGCATGATAATGGCAGATCAATATGATTTGGAGAAGCAATCAGATAAGAATTAAATCACAAAGATTTTCTTCATTGCATTTATTTCTAGGCAGCTCATCTCAAAATGAAAGAGTAGCTAACTAGTGGGAATTCAGAGAACAGCAACTAAACTTACTCAATTGCTGGAAGAAATGATTTATGAAGATTAAAAGATTTTTACACGTACGGTTTGACTACAGCTCTCAGAGAAGACCAAAAGGGACATATTTAATGCATTGAGAGCTGTTAGAATGATACAGCTGGAAACAAGGAGGCTTTTCCAGCAGAGCTGATGCTGTCCGATGCGCTCGCAGAGCAGAGCGGGGACCCTCCGGACCACCGGCTCCCACCTCACGCCCACGTACGCCGGCAGGCACAGAAGAACAAGACAAAGTCCAAACTTTCGGTGGGGTCCCCTGCGCCTGCTCTCGCCTGGCTGCAAAACAGATGATCTGAATGCTTTATCACATCCAGTTTGTAAACATTAGCCCTACCCCAGACTTTTTATTAGCTTAAATCAAATATTGAACCTAGCTCAGCTGTTAGAGGACAGCTGCTTGCAAAGTGATTCACTGCCATATTCCTTCTAGGCCACAAGAAAATACAACCTAATCACCAGCAGCATGACAGATGCACACATTTTTAATTATGAAGAAGAAATTAGGCTCTGAACTTATCCCCACATCTCACTTAATCAGAGTGGTTTGGAGGAGCTGCCAGCCACCACGGCCATGGAAGGACGGAGCTGCAGAGGGCCGCGGAGCGGCGCCTCACAGCGTGCTGAGCTCCTGCACCCAGACCCACTTCGGACATTTACCAGGAAAGACACAAAAGAGTTTTATGCTGTTTCTTGGAATTTACCTTTTCAGGAACGAACAGATAGATTTCTCGGTTCAAAAAATCTCTACTTGCATGAGCAATGAACTTGAGTCATTTAGAGTGTTTAAGAAGGAGATGGTGTGCAGGAGCCTTTGACCCCTGCACCAGCAGGTATGGGAGGGCTATCTGCAGCAGACGTTCAAGTAGCTTCCCAGTCCCATGTCCGAGTTTCACACTGGGAAAAGCAATGTCCTACCTATGTGTAGCTCAACTCTGTTTTATGGGCTTTTCGACTGAACGCATTCACCTTGGTATCTCAGGGATCTCTCAGTAGGAAAGATTTGCCTGTTGAATCTTCAGAATATGCATAGAAGTTAACTTCAGGAAATTCTCATTACTTAATACACATGTTAAAATTCCCACAGATCACTGAGCTCAAGCATAAAAAAATCTAATAAGGAAACATATTAAGAGTCAGATATACAAATATATGTAGAGTTCAATTTGCCCACTGAAGGCAGCACAAGCAGGTAAAAGAAAATCAAATAAGTAGCGTAAGCAGAAAAAAAAAAAAATCCTCTCAAGTATTCAGTCAATTACTTTAAACCTCCAAAAAAAAGGGGTTGTCAATTCAAAACATTCATCTTACATGACAACACAGTCTAATCTACTGTCAGTGCTACTGTCATCCTCAAAAGAGAGTGGCAGGCAAGGGAAGATAACCTGTGCTCTGGCCTCACCGGGATGCTGCAGCTCAGGGCTGAAAGAGGAGCCGGAATGTTTTCCAAGGAGAGGAACCGATGCAGCTTCTAAGGAGACATTTCTGAATTGTTTAGCTTGCTTCCCCGCATCGATAATTTGTCTTCTGTACCTTGCAAAAGTCGGCCTTCACCGACAACGCTGGAGGAGGTTGGTCGGGGAGGGTTTAATGAATGAACTAAAGCAATCCGGGGGTTACAAACACCGACTGCACCAACAGCCCCACGCTCTCCTCCAGGGGGCTGAACGTCAGCCGACTGCCCTGAGCGATAGGCAAGCAGCCCAAATGTGAGACCTACTTGTAGGAAAAAATTAGCTACTCAATCTCTAATGAACAGTCTTTCTCTACACAACAATACCCTCCGCTCTACAAGCAATTAGCAAATCGAAGCGCTCTCTTTGTGGACCTGCATTAATTTACTCCTCAATGTTGCACATTAAATAGCTCATAGGTACAGCACAGCACAGTAGTAGCAACAACCAAAGCCATAAAATTAAAGCTTGCATCAAAGAGTTAGGGAAGCAAAATTATGCGTGCTGCATACCGGGAATAAATCAAAACAACCTTCATTTGGAAACATCATTTTAGTCTTATGCTTTCATCAAAAAACATGATTATCTTAACAGTCACGTTAATACAAGGTAGGTACTTTACAAGGGAGAGGAACAGGCAGCACATTCACTACCTCAAATTAAAAAAAGAATCATTTTTATTCTTCCTCATCAGGGTGAAATATCTGAGAATATACACAGCTGCCTATTCCAGGGCTGCGCTTCCATGGCTATAAATCCCAACTGCAGGTCCCCAGAAGAAAGGCTGCTTGTCGGAAGGGCAGCACCACTGCACGGGAGGGGACGAGGTTCAGCCTGGCAGAGCTTTAACACAGCTGCAAAACGTGGCATTTTTACAGCACGTCGAAGCCCGAGATACCCTTAGCAGTATTTTATATGCAACAGTTGTGTGCAAATGCAAGTCAAGTGTGATGATTGGCAAATTTAGGTATAATGTTAATTAATAGCTATTTCAAATTAATTAACTTCCAAGATAAATTCTTGCCTCTCCT